ACGACGTCCTCCCAGGCCAGAGCCTCCTCCCCACCGACTTCCTTTGATTAACCCTGTGGACTCTGGCTCCTGTTTCGCCTTGAACTTCAATATGTGTCATGTCATCGTGACCTGTCGCTCGATGCTCTGGACCCTCCTGAGTATTGTGGTGGCGTTTGCCGAGCTCATCGCCTTCATGAGTGCAGACTGGCTGGTCGGGAAGGCCAGGAGCCGCAGTGGCGTGGCTGGGGGTCCCTCGGAGCCACCGCACCCCACCCTGGGCATCTACGCACGCTGCATCCGCAACCCCGGGGTGCAGCACCTGCAGCGGGACACACTGTGTGGGCCCTACGCCGAGAGCTTCAGTGAGATCGCCAGCGGCTTCTGGCAGGCCACCGCCATCTTCCTGGCCATGGGCATCTTCATCCTCTGCACGGTGGCCTTGGTTTCCGTCTTCACCATGTGTGTGCAGAGCATCATGAAGAAGAGCATCTTCAACGTCTGCGGGCTGCTGCAAGGAATCGCAGGTGGGTGCAGAGGGAGGGGCTGACAAGGTTCTCGGGCCTGGGGCTCCTGCATTCACCTCCTGCCAGCTTGGGAGAAGACCATCTTCTGGTGGCTCTGGTTCCTCTGCTGGCTGTCATCCACAGGGAGACATGATGCTGTTCTGCTCCTCCACACGTGGTCTTCTCATTGCTTATTTCCCGGGGTCTAGGTAGTTGGCTTTGGTTTAAGTATGCCAACCTTTTGCTGTTCCTTTTAAATGAAGAGCATGCAGTCCGCAGGGTCAGCTCCCAGGACTTGGGGAGACAATCCCACCGACAGCAGGCCTCCAGGCTGAGAAGGGTGGGAGTAGCAGTGAGGCGGTGGCCCACCCCCTCTCAGCCCCAGATGATCTCAGCTTGGGGGGGAGGGATTAGTATCAGCTGCTCTATGTTTAACGATGTCCTGGTTCAAGCTGCCTGTCTCCTAGAGCCCCAGAATGTTCTGTGCACTCAGACCAGAAAGTGCATGCGAAGTCCTCTACTTTCTGGGAATTCCTCACTAATGAGCTTGTTAGAAACGGGTGGAAAGAAAAGTATAAGCTCTCTGCAGTGTTCCCATGAGCTACTTCACGGGCTTCCATGGGGGTGTGAAGGTGGGTCCTGAACCCAGGGGTAGAAGTCTGTCTAGGCTCAGGTTTCTCGTTCTGGGTGGCAGAAATACACACACATAGCCATGCTCAGTGGTTCAGCCTGTAATCCCAGCACTTTGGGAGGCCAAGGCGAGTGAATTGCCTGAGCCTGCAGGTTCGAGACCAGCCCCGGCAACTTGGTGAGACTTCGTCTCTACAATAAATTAAAAATTAGCTGGGCATGATACCGTGTGCCTGTAGTTCTGGCCACCTGGAAGGCTAAGGCAGAAGGATCGCCGGAGCCCAGCAGGTCGACGCTGGGGTGGCCATGAGTGTGCCACTGCACTCCAGCCTGAACGACAGGGCGAGATTCCAATTCAAGAAAAAGAAATACAGACACACACACACACACACACATTCACACATAGAGACATACACAGCTGAGTGTGGAGGCATCTGCAAGGAAGCGAGGAACAGACTCTTGACTTGATATTCAGAAAACAAGCATTCGCTCCTTAGCCAAGATGTCCATTCATCTGAGCTCTGACAGTTCATCCCCAGTGAGCTCTAAAGCTGCCTGCTCAGGACCTCCACAGTGAGACGCGCACAGCCTGTGTTGGGCCATGAGACACAGACCTAAGATGAGTTAACTCTAATTGACCTCAGAAACTCCACAGCTCGGCAGGGCTGACTTCCAAACACACAGACCAGATGGCGGGTTTTTTCCCAAACAGCTAAGATGTTTTCTGTTCCTCAAATCTTAGGGGGCCCCTGTGGGGGGTGGGGGACAGGGACACTGGGCCAAGAGAGGTGATAAGGACCCACTGCTCTCTTCTGATCTGCCTCATGGGGACGTACTCTATCCACGCCCCAGGGCCCATCCCGGCCCACAGCGACACCTCCCACCTCTCACCTCTCTGGATCTGCCAGAAGCGGCCATCCCACGCGGGACCCAGGCACTCGAGGAATCTGGGGCCAGGATTCTGTTTTCAGCTTTGCTCCTGAATGGCAGTTTCCCTTGAGATCGTGTGCCACCTCTCAGGGTCTCAGCATCCCCCTTCTGAAAAACAGGGAGGCTGGAAAACATGACCTTACTCTAGATTTTTTTTACCTTAGAGTTTTGATCGTGAGCTCACTGCCCCCTTCTGATTCCCTTCTGAAGTCTGTGGCCTTCAGCTGGGCCTTTCCCCACCCAGAAATGTTAAAGGTGATGGTTCCAATATCCATCACTTTCTGTCAGAGAAATCCCTTGTTCTGCTCTCCTGAGATGCAGCACATGCACATCTTAAAGCCGTTGTGAGAAGTTTTTGAAGAGACAAAATGAAGTGGATGTGTGGAAGTTGAGTGTCCCTCACTCTGCTGTACCTGCACGTCCTTGATGGTCCCGGCCTTGGCTGCCGGTCTTATCCACATGCCAGCGTGCAGGCAGGACTGCTGGACTGGCCTTGCGGGAGTGCCTTCCCTCCTGAGAAGCTTGACTGGACTGCCTTCTAAAAGCCGCCTGCAGCCAGGGGTGAGGTAGAGCATCTTGGGCTTTAGCACCAACCCATGCCGCACGGCCATTCAGAAGCAAAGCACAGGTGTCCTGCCAGACTGGTATGGGCAGCTTCTAGTAGTGTCTGCTCAGTGAATCCCACCTCTGGGACCATGGTCAGCCTAGCACGCCTCCTGGTGTTCTGTGTGTACCACATATGGCACCGGTGTTCATTCTACACAGAGGTCCATCCATGTCTGAGGTGCTATTCATGCACACCAGTGACTTTTCTCTTTTCCTTTCTCTCTGCCTAAGGCCTCTGGGACAAAGGCTGAGAAGGAGGAGGGGGGAAACTCCCACTGGGGTTGCTGGCCACCTGTCTTGTCGCTGTCTGGGTTAACTCTCCCTACGCATTGTTGCAGCATCTCAGAAATCCTGAAATTTCTCAAAATGTTAAGTTGCTGGGGGCAGAGGGTCCTGTCAGTGTGACTGTTGGCCAGGGCCATGCTCCAAGGCTGAGCACTGGGTATAGGAAGGAAGTGGTTTCTTTCCTCCTTCCAGCCTCGCAGCTCCCCAAAGAAGAAAGCATGGGGAAGACAGACTCCCCCATCCGTGCTCAGGGGCCACATCCGCAAGGGATGCCTGGCAGCCTCCTTATCTCCTGTCGGAGGTCTACACCATGCAGTCCACACCAGGATAAATGGCAGCTGCGCCCTTCGCCTGTGGCCGAGAAGGTTCTCAAGCCGTGTACGCAGCAGCCGGCCTGCTTCCCTTCTGCTGGCCAGCCTCGGCAAGGACAGTGCAGCTGTGAGCGTCCGTCTTCTCCCCCACACCTCTCAGCCTGGATCCTTCCACCCTGAAACAAATAGCGAGAGAGGAGGCTGCTGCCAGAGCAGCAAAAGCTTTTAGAAATGGACTCAGGCTGTGTTCGTTCTATCAACTTGTATTTTGGCAAAAGAAACATTTTTTAAAATGTGACTGGATGAAAAATAGAAGCATACTTCTTCACTATACTTAATTTTAAAGGATGTAGGCCACAGGTTTGTATAGCCTTGTCTATTAAAAAACACTGTAAATCATCAAAATCTTGATATTCTGATTTTTAAAAATTTTTTATTTTGGGTTGGGGTCTTGCTGTCATCCAGGGTGGAGTGCAGTGGCATGATCACAGCTCACACAGCCTCAAACTCCTGGGCTCTAGCATTCCTCCTGCCTCAGCCTCCTGAATAGCTAGGACTACAGGCACGTGCCACCATGCCTGGCTAATTTTTTAAATTTTTTGTAGATGAGGTCTTGCTGTGGTGCCCAGGCTGGTCTCAAACTCCTGGGCTGAAGCAGTTTTCTCACCTCAGCCTCCCTAAGTGCTGAAATTACAGATGTGAGCCACTGTGCCCAGCCAATTATATTTTTTATGTTTCTCAGAATTGCTGACCCTATTCTGTTCAAATCAAACATGAATACATTGTCTAGGCCATCCCCTGGCCCTTAATATCCTTCATCAGGGCTGCAGAGTAGAGCAGACCTGTGGCTTCGGTGTGACCAGGGGTGTCCTCAGATCATTTTCTCAAAAAGCAGAAGACAGCAGTCGAATTGGCAGGACAGCAGAGACCTCCCTCCTCCCGCTCTCGCTCCCCATTCCTCTGCCGCCCGAGAGTAGCTCCTGGCCGTGGAGTCTTGGCTGCAGGTGTCATCTCAGAGTCCCCTGCAGAACGAATCCCAGGCTGACTGGTCTTCACCAGCTGAGAACCTGTCCAGGACCTGCGAGCCAGAAACACATCAGCGATACCCCTCTGGGACTCGTTGCAGAAGCGGGTCGTCAGCCAGCAGGGCTGGCCTTCTGCCGGCTGTCTTCCTTAGGTTGTGACCTGGATGTAATCCACAGTGAAACTGTGGGATGCAAAGATCCAGGTTTTCCATGACAGCATCAAGCAGTCTGTCTTGGGAAATGCATGTGGGACTCTCCGAGAAGCCCATGGAATCCCCAGTGACTCAGGTTTGGGACCGAAGCCATTAACAATGAGCTCAGGCTTTGGCTCCCTGGTGCTGGCGGGGCCTGCTCCGCGGGGACTCGCGAGGGCCAGTCTGGCTGGGGCGTGGGCCTGGCTGCCTGCCGTTTCCCATCTCCCCTTTGGTCCTGCTGGCTCTCACACTCCACGCCTCTCGCGCGGTCTGCCCCTGGGGGTCTCCATCCAGCCGGGGTGTCCAACCACAGATGGCCGTGGGCGGGGAGGCCATGGTGAGAACTGCCCTTGGTGTGGCAGCGGGCCTGGTGTGTGCCGGCTCGTGTTGCGGGATGTGTGATGGACTGAGGTGGAAGAGGACAGCCTAGGGGAAGGGGAATGGAAGAAGAGGCCGCCGAGAGAAGGCGAGCAAATGTCCCGCCTTGCCGCTTGCAGGGCTGCTCTGTCACCCGTCAGGATGTGGGAAAGTCCAGGATGAGGATTTTCTCGCTTTTCACAGGAGAAAAAGGAGGTAATGATCACACCCCTCCCAGCCCCAGCCTCCACTGTGACTGACTGCATGTCCCCCTGTGTACCCCCAAGCCAGAAAGACTGGGTCAGCCACTGAGGGGAACCAGAGAGGGCCAGGAGGCTCAGGTAGAGGGTGGAGTTCCCGGACTCCAGAGCCCTGCCATCACTTCACGCCTGAAACATTCCCCTGGCTTCCTCGGAGAAGGTGGGTGCCCTCAAAGAAGGGCATGAGGGAGTGAGACACATCCCCTGCTTCTCCTCCTCGTTGGGAATGAGGTGCTGGAGGCCCCTGGCCCCAGCCTTCCAGATGGACGGTGCTCCACTGGAAGCCGGGTCTAGCCACTCGCTCAGAACACCCCGATTCGGCACACTTAGTCCTCCGTCCTTGGTCGGCCCTTGGTAAGTAGAGAATGCAGATGTGTTCAAGTGAGGCAGGCCAGAACTGACTTCAGCTCTGGATGCCTGCTATGTGCGAAGGCTGTTGAACAGAGCTGCCATTTCTGGATTTTTCTGCTCCAAGCTATATTAGAGGCATCACTTCATAAACTGTACCCCAGAGAAGCAAAAAAAAAAAAAATATATATATATATATATAAAGGGAACAAAGAACTCAACCATATCATTAGATATGAAACTGCTGCCGAAAAGCAAGTGGACCAAGGGGGCATTTGAGTAAATCTAGAGACTGTGATCTATTTTTAAAGGAGCAGTTGGAAAGTCTAGAATAAAACTGCAAACTTAAAATTCAGATATAGTAATCGATACGTAATGAGAATGTGGAAAGGTTCTGCCATGGCAACCACTTAATTGTAGGCATAAATCACTGCACAGCCATGGATGATCTATGTTCAAATCACATGAACAAATAATTGCTGAAGCATGGCTCTGAATGTGCAGGTCTGCACTGTTTTAGGAGCTCAGTGCTGACATTTTGAAGAGGTGGTGTTCTTCCACGCTGTAAAGCCACTTCACAGGTACCTGCCTCCCATGTTAACTGTGCTCCAGTACCACCCCCATGCTTACAAGTTCATTTATCACATGTGGTCTTCCCTGTAGCTTTGTAAATGGCCAGCGATCATCTTTTTTTTTAAAAGGCAGCTCCTGGTACTTAATCAGTACAAATGTGTGTCCACATCTCTAAATAATTTCAAATCAAAACGTAGAGTGGCTGTGTGAGTGATGGGGCCAGTCTCGGAGAACTGGTGTGGAGAAGATGACACCTTGTTCTTATAGGAATTAGTTAACATTATTTGCATCCAAAGACCTTAGCAGGCATGAAATTTACTTACTGTCCTAGAAATTTCATAGCTAAGTAACTTTTTTTTTAAAGTGTCTTTTACACACTGCATATTGCATTTTATTTACTTTGGTAGCTTATTTTCAATTGTCAACATACTTTGGTATTAGTCAAATAGGAGCTCTGTCTTCCATACTTCTGTGTGTAAGATGAGTAACTGATGGAGAAAATACTTCCTAAAGTTCTTCCAGGTGCATATAAGCAGTTTGACTGACAGCTTCTCACCCTTAATGTGAAGTAAAGTTTCATCGCCAGCTATGGGAAGGAATAATCTGGCTACATTAGTTTCTTGAGCTGTATTTCAACAATTTTAGACTTAAGGCTTTGCAAACTGCTAGCAGAAGTAATTTGCATATAAACAGGAGTCATGCTGAGACAGATTTAGGGAGGCCTCACCAATGGAAAAACTGCATCTTTCTTACTGCTTCTCTATGTGTCCTGTGGGCATCAATTCTTAATTGATGACCATTAATTTTGAGTAATTGTAACAGAAACTTCCTTTGGGGGCCTTGGTTATAAGGTCATTTTATGCCCACTATGATCTGGTTATCTTCCAAAGAATTCTGTTCATGTTCTATATCACCCTCCCTCCACCCTGGAGAGCTTTCTCTTGCCAATTATATACCATGGGAGTATTTTTAGTAGAAGATGGATATCCTACTAGATTTCTCTGGGGATATGGCAGAAGCATTAATACAAGCTATAAAAAAAAACTGACACCTGAAAACATCAACCAGCTTCTTCCCTTTCCCTCTCATTCCCCTCTGAAAACGGTATTGGTTGAAAGCCTATACTATTATTGATCATGTACTAAGCTGACATGGAGATACAATTTGCTCAGCAAAGACACTGTGGTCCTCAACAAAAACCTTTCATTACCAGGGAAGCTTTGACTTCTAGTTCCAATCTGGCTGCTGAATGTCAAAGCTGGGCTAAGTTGTCTACAAACTCTTGGTGGAGTCCCAGCACTGGGGATTGGGGAGGCTGCAGCAGGAGGATCACTCGAGCCCTGCAGCTCAGGTCTGTGGTGCAAGATGACTGCGCCTATAAATAGCCGTTGCTCTCCAGCCTGGGTAGCACAGCAAGACCCTCACTCTTAAAAAATAAAATGAGAGGCAACTAAGCAAGTCTGGCACTAGACTCAGACAGAAGACTCAGAAGAGCCTTACCCTTTACCTTGTTACTTGCACAGTCAGTAAACAGGCTTCTTAGAAGGGTGTCCTGGCCCTAACACAGGTGCCCTCTGCAGACCCTCGCTCCTCAGGAGAACCCCTCCAGCAGAATCTGCTACCTTTGAAGGAGCGCTGGTCCACTCTGTGCTAAGGTTTCCACAGTCCACACAAGCACGAGAAGGTAAAGACATAGTTAAGATTTCATTGAGCTCAGTGTATTCAATTTAAAGAACTGTCCTTCATTTTCATTTACATTCTTCACCCTTGTGTTAAAATACATTTATAACGTGATGATGATAAGAGATAATGGTTATTTTCACTGTCCTCCTTGTGTTAGCAAAATAAAAGTGTTGGCCTCCCAACAACTTTCCAGGCTATTGTACCTCCTGTGAACCCGGGAGATGGTGTAGGTTGTGTCTTTTCAGTTGTCTCTAGTGTTTAGGATGGGGCCTGCTACCAACATGGCAGGTGCTCGGTCAAGGGCCATGCATGACAAAAGCTGACGTGTGTGCTATGCTGGTTAGGCTGTGCTAGCCCTGCTGTAAATTTCTAGGTATTTGAGGAGTCAAGGAGTTAACAAATGCTGCTAAGTCTCAAATCAAACATGGCCTCTGTCCTCCCAGACGGTTCAAGCATAAATAAAGCCAGCATCCCAAGAACTGGTTAAGTTACTAAAACCAAATTCTGCTTGGGCTTTAGAATAAACTTTCACTGAAAAATGGAAAAATCTTAATAGGCAACATGATTTCAAAGGTGTAAATCAACCCAAAGCAATCATTCTTGGGCTGAAGTTCCTGATTCATGTTACAATTCATTCTTTATCTTATTTATAAACACTGTTCACATGCCCCTGAATCTGAATGGCTGACAGGAGCCTTGTGAATTCAGTGGCCCATCTGGCATCTGGGGAAGCCAAGGAAGCTTGATACCATCGCCAGTTCCTTTTGGACCTGGGGCACAGACCCAAAACTCTTCTTGGGTGGAAGGAAGCACACTTGGCCCCCTCCCCATGCCTGCAGTTGTCATAAGCAAGATTTTACCAGGGCCAGATGCCTGAGACTGAGAGTACCCTCCCCAGCATGGAGAGGCAGACAGGCAAATCTCTTGATGTGGAGATCTGACTCCAACCCACTGTCTACAGGTAG